CCCCAAAACCCCAAAACCCCAAAACCCCGCTTGGTCAATATAAAATTGAAATAATTTTTATACTCATGAATCTCTAAGTTTAGTGGTGGAAAAGTGGAGGTGGAGGCATCTTTGAAAGAATGGATAGTGGTCTGAGGACTTCAATTTGGTGTTTCCCTTGGTCAGCATGAAGTTGTGGGACTAAGCTTTGGATTGAGGTCTGATTGGTAATGTCTAAGGATGATCAGTATTTATTGTTTGAAGAATTCGGTTAATTTTATTTTTAGGGAGGTTAAACTCGCAGTGGTTGCATATTTTATCCAAAATTTACTTTGGCCTTATTGAGAAATAGTTATTCCAAAGTATTCAGTATGCCTCCTTTTCTGAAATTAGTGAATGGTACTACTAAATAAAAATAATAGTTTACAAATAATTCTCAAAATGAGCGTCCATGTATAATTCCAAAGATTTCAGAGCTCTATGAAGAGTCTTGATCATGATTCCGCCTTCATTAGATCATCTTAAATATTTCTTCGCTTCATAAAAAGTCTATGTTTGAAAATAGTCTAATTTTATTCTGTTTCCTCTTCTCAAGGTGAAACGAATTTGCAATCACAAATAAAAAACTCAGTGAATTTTAGAAATGACTGAGTTAATTACATGGGTCTGAATCAAGTCTGATAAACGTGTTTTGATCAAATTCATTGAAAAATAAATGGAGTTTTAAAATGTTTTTAATAAAATTCGTCCTAAGTTTACTTGTGATAAGGCTTGGAGGGTCTCTTTGGAGAAGGTAGATGATCTAATTTGAGCACTCCAAGACTTCATAAATGCTTCTAAACCTGCTGTTTTATTGCCATATTTATAACTCTAAATATAATAAGCCTCTACTTCGTCTCTTTTTAAAGAAGAAATTCATGAATGTGAGTCAAGAAATAAATATCTATTTTTTTAATTTCTTAAAATATGATTTATGGGTAAGTAGAAGAATAGATTATATTTCAAACCATCCAATTTTCTGCTAATTATCTCCCTCTGAATTTGCTCTAAATCTTGTTCAAATATATATAGCTGCCTTAGCCCAAACCTCTTCATCTGGATTTTATGTGGTTCACCATATTAATAAATATTTTCTAATAACTCAAAATGGAAAATGAAGAAATTTCCAGCTGGAGAATTAAGCAAAGGGTCAAAAAACGCTTTCTAAATTAAAGAGAATCAATAGTATTTAAATCACTATATCTCTATGTGAAATAACTTCCATTATCTTAGGCCAGAAGTTCATCCTTCACCTACCTATTATTACAGATTTTAAAACAAGAAGTATCTGAAGAAGTAGCTCAATTTAAAACTTGAGAAAATTGTAGTCGAAGCTTGGGTTAGTCTAGCGATAAATTCGTCAAAATATGTTCTAATTGGTCTGAATATTTTCACATAAATTATATATCAAAACTATAGCTAACACTCTAGATATCAATAGGTTAGAACTAAATTGAAAAATAATCCATGAATCTAAAAATTGTTGTTATTTTAACTAAACTCAGAAATACGATTTGCTGTTTGACAACAATATCTCCAATTACTTTCCAGATTATTAGCATTTAATTTTATACTCTATGACCTATTGGTGTTATACTTATCAATCCTAACATCATACAACCCCATCACTTCCCATCCACACCTAAAACTCTCTAATCAGCTCTAAATCCGCATAAAAACCTCGAAATCCTCCCTAATCAATGAATCCCAAAACCTCCAAAATTCCCATACAAACGTACCCCCACATTCCCTCAAAACTCCCAACTTTCCCTCCCATTTTCCCTTCTCCAAACTCAACTCATTCCCGTAAAATCCCCACTTCACCCAAAATCCCTCCTCCACCTATCTTGTCAGCAGGAGCCCCTGGCTGAGAAGATGAGTGAAGAAGGGAAATAGTGAATGGGTGGGCGACTGAAGGAGGTTTAGAGGAAAAGAATGGGAAGAAGAGGGTAAAGGAGAACTGGAAGTGGAGAGTGATGGGGAAAATTGGAATAGAGGGTGGATTTTGGGAGATTTGCAAGGGTTAGGAATGGAAGGTTTTGATGGGTTATTGTATTTTGGGAAGAGATAGAAAAGAGGTCGATAAGGGGGTGATTGTGATTAAGTAATTGGAAACCTCTAGTTTGTTTTTTAGGCGTCTTTCATAGACATATCTTTACAAAGACTGCAATACCACGGAAATTTTTGGCCCATAATTCCAATATTAAAATTTGGCAAGATCTATTGATTTCTATTATTTTAAAATAGTTGTTATTAAGTTAATTTAGATATCAAATTTTATTACGTCCAAAGAAGTCAGCTGTTTAAGAATTGGAAGTTTATGTGGATGTTTTCTTTTCTTAAAATCACCGATTTTTGTTGTTCCTTTCAGCTGTGTATCATCCAGAACTCTGCTACTAGCAAGTAGGTCAGCTTTGTTTCTAAGCATGTGGGGAGATATAAATCTTCTGTTTTTAAAGCCCGATTTATTCATCTTAGTACGAATTTTTGATATCAAATTATAGTACCACCCATTCTTTATCCTATGCTTGCTATCAGGAGCTGAGTTAGACTTCTGCTGATTCCAGGAAGCATGAGGGCTGAATTTAATTTCATATTGAGGGCTTTCTGGTCTCATCTTTCTTATTATCTGGGGGCTGAAAGCTCTTTTGTAGTTGTGACCACCCTAAAATTAAGTTAATGAATGCTCGCTAAATAGTTCTATTAAACTTTAAAGCATGTAAAATAGATGAGAAATGTACCTTGAGCTTTATAATAGTCTGAAACATCTGATTCCGTAATACTGGAGACATCTCGTCTCTTCTTCTGCTAACTTTTCTAACTAGCTCCTTTTTGCTAGCTATCGAGTTACATAACACCTTGTAAGACTCAAGGTTAAAATTCCGGTTTGTATTTTTCATATTTATTGTTATTAATCTGGTATTTTTTGGGGTTTATATGGGGTTTTGGGGTTTTGGGGTTTTGGGGTTTTGGGG